AAAGCGGCGTAGTCTCCTTCGAGCACTAGGGAGGTGGCCTGCGACAAGGGGAGATTGTTGGAGGCCAAACTCTCAAAGGCCGTAATCACGGCCGTGGTGACCCAGCCCTCGGGAACCGGCCGCTTCTTGCGTCCCTTTGTGAGGCTGGCACGCAGTCAGTCAGTCTTATCCCGAGATATGCACGGCCGGGTGGGAGTCCCGACGAACCTCTGGTGGATCTCGTCGACGCGCTCCGCTAGCTCCTCGGGAAGCGTTTCGACGCTGTCAATCATCATCTCCTCACCGTCCGGCGCGGTGCCTGTAACGGTGACTTTGCTCAATGACTCCCTCGCCTCGTCCCGCTCCCTCGTCAGGCGCGCGATGACGCGGACAGCCGCGTCATGCTGGTACAGGGCCGTGGCCAGCTCTTCCCGCGTCCGCGCCAGCTGCTCTCTGATGTTGTATGTCTCGAGGGCCAGCGTGTCCCATTCATTCTGAAAGGTCGCCAACAGGGCAGGAATCGACGTCAGGGTAGGCGGGCGCGGGCGGACCACCGACGACGACTTTACGGGTAGTAGGTCCTCGGGGGCGAGAACCTGGCCGGTTCCCGGCTCGGTGCCATGCTCGTTTATGTACTGCTCAATCAGACGCTTCTCGTAGGCGACTCCTAGACGCCGCGTCAGCTCGGCGGGGGGGCGCGCGGGAGCTCCGTTCGTGCTCATACCAGACTTTTTGGACACCACGGGCTCCTGGGGCGCCTCGCCAGAAACTATCCTCGGGCATCAGTCTGGGTGCGTTCGCACGGGGGCTGGAGTATCGCCTGACTTCCGCAGATCATGGGCACTGGTTCTCGAGAGCGCGCTGTGCTCTCGATGGCGACGCGTGGTATCTTCTCTGCGGCGACTTGGCTTTTTGTGCAGCTCATGAGACGACGCGCTCTTCCGGGGCCAGATTTTCCGCCTAGGCAGGGATGCACGGACCAGATGCCGCGTCAGTTACGTACTGTCTGCGCAGCGCGGGTCTCATCACGTGATGGTGGAAGCTGGAACCGGGTCCGTCCTCGGATTTCGGAGGGCGCCGTTCAACCTCGGCACCTTATCTTGTCTATATCCCGGCACCCTAGCGGGGACATCCGCTTCCCAAGGTACCTGGGAATGTACATTTTGTGCGCACTTCGTGCCTACTTGGTGCAGACGACCAAAGCCCGTGCTCGGCTGTCGGTCACTGCCAGACCCATACCCATTCCATTCGTTGTTTTCAGACGGCGGACACCGTCTTGTGAAGCTTGAATCCAGCTATATTGACCCATGCTACCCGTCATTTAGCCTATCCGCCCGCCAGTCCGTCTCGCCGACCCAGCCCGCCGCGCCATGGCTCAGGAACAACAACTCCCAAGCCTGCCTCCTGTCCGCGGCTTGCGTTCCCGCCCAGACCCGGCGCAGACCGCCGTCCTCGACCTCCTCTTCGAGCCCAGCTCCACCATCCACTCCACTCTCCTCCCCGTCCTGCAAGCGGCCGAGTATTCCTCGTACCCAGAGCTCATCGACGCGTGTCACGGCCGGCTCCGGTCCCTCGCCAGCTCCCGTAGCGCCTCCGACTCTGCGCCGCCAACACTTCTGTCCGTCCTCGGGTCCCATCCTCGCTTGGGCGAGAAAAAGGTCGACTCGGCCCAATCGGTCGCCGAGCAGGCCAATCTCCGCGGGGAGGGCCAAGAGCTGGCTGCGCTGAATCGAGAGTACGAGATTCGCTTTCCCGGGCTCCGCTACGTCGTGTTTGTTAATGGCCGGGCGAGGCCTGAGATTATGCGTGACATGAGGGCACGAATAGAGAGGAACGAATTCGCCACCGAGGTCGATGCGGCGCTTCAGGTAGGGAGGGCGTCACCGCCCCTTGCCCGATGATGCGGGAACTGACCGCTGCAGGCCATGTGCGATATCGCAAAGGACCGAGCTTCCAAGCTCCCAACGACATAGATGGACTGAAGGCAGACGTCATGCGACGGACACGAAATTGGCACCTACTGCTTCTTCTCGTATCTTTTCATTCATGAGACCCGTCTCTCCACTCGAGCTGCCTGACAGAACTGGTATCGTCTGCCCCAACACTGTTCCCTTCCTCCTCCGCTCCTCCACCTCCTCGGATGAGTCGCCGTCTCGCGAGTTTGGGGATTCGTGCCTCAAGTGGCATCAGGATGAACTCGGCGTCAGCAGCGCAGTGCGGACCGGTCGGCCGACGGAATCAGTCACCATCGATCCTGGTAAGGTCTCCACATCCCTGTGGCGTCATAGTGCATGGGAATGGGCAAAGGCCCCTCAACAGGCGGTGCTGCGGTGATATGTTAGCATAATACGCACCTTGAGTCTCAGAAGGAGCTTACCTTGAAAAGTTCAATCAGCTGTTCCTAGCGTAATGGTTAAGAGGCACGGGACGGCGTGGGTTGACGTCAGCTATGCGTGTCTTCCGCCTGCAAGCCGTAGAGTTTTTAGCACAATCCGTGCTTGGTTCGTGTATGCGCTCTCCAGTGCTCTTCAGGGCTGCCGGACCCCCAGTTCT